GTTTCTTTACTGCCCTGCTTGGGTTTCCTGCTGGGGTGGCCAGCACCGTGTTCTAGCAGCGTGTCACGCTGCGTATTTGGTGCCGTGCGTGCGTGTTGGCAGCTGCCCCACCAGCTGCTTCTTCCCCATGCCTGAATTTCTGTTCCTGCAGCATGGGAACTGGGAGTGGTGACTTCAGTGTCCCAGACCTGACCAGCCCCACACAGCTGCTTGCAGCCAGCTGAACTCAAACCCTGCCTGTGGACTGGGGTCTGACGTAGCCGCTGTGTCCCTAGGTTGGGGCGTGCACCCAAAGGACAAGCTGCGCAGCCTGTCAGAGTGTGATGCTTTCCTCCTGGTGCTCTCTTTGGTGCCAGTGAGCCCTTGGTGCTGCTGGTGTTGGCGTTGCCTTCCCTGCGGGACAAGGCACATGTGGGTAAGAGGCGCTGAGCGGCAGTGGTGACTCAGCTTGTCCTGCAGGCACTGCTGGCTGTGTGGGCTGCCCCTGCCCTGCTGCCCAGGTAGGGATGAGCCCTGGCTTCACCTTGAGGCTCCTGGGACAGGGAAGGTGGGCAGCTTCTCCTCAGTTCCACAGGCTGTTATGTCAGAACCAGGCTGCAGGGACTTGGGAGACACTTGCACAGTGTTCTTCTTGCGTGGTTGTCTTATATGTTGGTTGTCTAGTCTTTGACTCCTTGACCCTTGCTGTAGTGATGGTATTTGCACCTTGCACTGCCTGCAGACAGAGCTGAGAACCCATCAGTTTGGAGGCCCCATGTTGGTGAGAGTGGTGGCTGCTGTCAGAAGGTCTTATGAACAACTCTTCTGACACAGTGCATTTGCACCTACATGAGGATAACTGATGATGCTGTGTGAAGGATGGGATGACGTGCATTCTCTGGAGACATCGGCAAGGAGGTGGTAGATGATGTGAAAGGCTGTCTGTTTTGAGCTGTGAGCTGAAGGGGTTAAAACATCAGTTCCAGGGAGCAGCCCACTCTCAAAATGGTGCTGACACTTGATTTGGCCCAACTCTTAGGGCAAAAACTCAAAACTCAGCAGTTCTTTCCCCCCAGCCTCTTGCAGCGGACTCCTGTGGGTAGAACTGGTGTGACAGAGTCTATCTGATCACCTTGCACAGGAGCACTGTGCCCAAGGAGGTATGTCATCAGCTCATACAGCATCCCACAAAAATCATCTAGGGAAGGACTAGTCAGCTCTGCAATGGGAGGAACTGAGACTAGATCTGTGGGAGGCCATCAGAATAGCTTGGGGGATGCCAATGGCTTTGCTCCCTCTGTGGGCCAGGCAGACATGGGTTGGGAGCTGAGGTCAAATGCTGTCCCAAGCTCTTGTGACAGCTTGGCCTGGGTATCATGCAGCAAGCAGTGTGCAATGCCCATCTTGTGTGGGGAAAGAAAGATGGAGTCTGTAGCTGTGCTGTCTTCCTGGGTACAGCTCCTTTCCTGTGGCATCTCGGGAACCTCGGAGCTGGCCCTGCAACAGCTTCTTTTGCTCAGTGGGCATGGGGATGTGTTCTTACCAACCTTTGCATAACAGGGACAAGGCAGCTCTGCCCCACAGCAGGTACTGGAAGTGCTGAGTGTCCTCTGAGTTGTTGAGACATCACGTGGAGGAGAGATAAAGGGAGATCCCCTAGCAGCCCCCACACGGCCATCTTCCCTGCTGCTGGTTCCTCCCCTACGAGGCCTGTGAAGCCAAGGAGTTGAGGACAGCAAATGGAGCTGCCCGTTGGCACAGGCTTTGCAGCAAAAGCCCGGGGGAGCTGAAGCAGCAGCTGCTTATCTCAGGAGTAGCCAAGAAGCTGCCCACGTGTGGCTCTGGAGCGCAGCCGCTTTCCTCTCGCGGGGAGCTGGAGCCCCGGGGTGCTGGGTACCGGCACGCCACGCTCCCCGCGGCGCCTGGCAGGACAGGCTGCTCCCTGCAAGCTGGGGCACAGGCGGCTTTCTCTGCTCTGCTGGGGGCACCAGCATCTCCTGACGCTGAGGTGCTTCTCCCTGGGAGTCCGCACAAAACCCACGCGGCGGCTGCTGGCCGCTGGCTTCCCCACAGGGTGGTGGACAACCCTACCAGGCAGGCTGCCTTCCTCCTGGGGCGGCTGGAGGCAGGTGCTGCCAGCCTCCTCCACCACTGAAACCATCTGGGGTGATCCCTCTGGGACAGCCCTGCCTCTCCGTCTGGTGATCACTTTGGTCCCTGCTGATGCTGACTGAAGCAATTCAGGAGGCAGCCTCAGACCTTCTACCTGCAGGGATCCCCTGGAGATCATCTACTGAAACATGCTGATACACCATTACTGTCCCTTGTGCCTCTGAGTAGAGTCCTAACCACCAGCACCAGTGCCATGTCACCTTTTTGAACTGAAATGAAGCAGAAGTGGAGAGGAGGAGACCTGCTTTCATGAAGTTAGAGAAGCTGTGGTCAAAAAGCAGAGCCAAGACTTCAAGCTGCCACTGTCTGTGCTGGGTCACCCTCGTTGAGCATCTGTGCCCCATCCAAAGGACACAGTCCTTTGTGAGGTCCTCTGTGGGGTGGAGCAGAAGCTGAAGGGGACACGGACAGGTCACTTCTTCTTTGATTCTCACTGAATGGAGCAACAGGGCATGCAAATGTCAGGCATGTCAGGCTTGTGTGGTTGCTGTTTCCTCTTCCAGTTCCTGTTGCAACTCGGGATGCACTTGTCAGGAAAATCTTGAGCTTTGGAACTGCAAACATGTCCCCTCTCTGCACCCTCCTAACAATCCTTGAACTAAAAGGCTGAGAAGCTAACTAGGGGATAGGTGAGTGGTTGGCAAATGTCCAGAGGAGAATGGTGACTGCCCTGATGTCCACCTTCTCTTAAACTCTGCATGGAAATTTTGTAAAGGGTGCTTGTACCTTTGCTGTGAGATATCCTGGTCCTGCCAGGAGGAGCAGGCAGCAGAGCATGGAGTTAGAGCCTTCATGGTCACTTTTGCTAACACCTCCTATGTCTGAGTTGGTTATAGTGAGAGCTGGCCATTTTTAGCTGGACATGGGGACATCAGTTCCCATCATGATGCCTGCTGGCATGGTCTTGGCAAAAGAATGGCAGCAGCCTGGCATCATGGAAGTCTGCGCATAACTTGTGCTAGCTTGACTTGGTGTTTTAGCCTCAGCTGAAATAGCAGCTTTGGTATAATGCTTGGGAAGTAAGGTAGAGAAGATGCAAAAACTGTTAGTGCTGTAAAACTTGGACATTTTCTTCTATGCTACATGCTCTGTATTGTGTGTGGAGCTTACTTAAGGTACCCCTTCACCTTGACTGCTGAGTCAATGTTTCATCCTGTCCTTGCACATCACGTTGAGATATTTTGATTAGCGGGCTTTGGACTTGCTGAATGTTAGCAGTGTGCACAGTTTGCTGTGGATGGTGGCACCTGCAGTTTTCATTTGATGCAGGCACCATTGGTGTACCTACATGCGCGGTAGTCTGATGGCCAACCACTCCCACCACCACTTTGTGGTTTTGGTATTGAGAATCTCTGACTTTCTCTGAGGTGACTAAGCCCAGGTGCTAGAACAACAAGGCTGCTTGGATGGTGTGTGCTGGGAGAAGCTCATCTGGAACGTGTTCCTCAACCACACTGACTTGGGGAGGTATGCAGGGAAAGAAGTGGCTGCCTTCTCAGACTGGAGCTGTCCTTAAAGAAGGTGCAGATAGGCTGTGGGAATGCTCGTAAAGCAAATGTTCCTGCCACTGCATTTGAAAAGATGTTTGCTGTCAGGTATCAGCTGATAGGAGTTAGGCAGTTCAGTCTGATATGTCAGCCTTCAGAGTCCCAGGCCAGATGTGAATGAAGGCGTTTGGGGCCTTTTCTTCTCTGGCCATGCGACCAAGTGTAAGTTGGTAAAGTGGCTTCACAGGGCTTTCTGGCACTCAGGTTTTTCTTGAAGGAGCTGGTTCAGGTTCTTGGGTGTGAGCATGCCGTGGGCCATTTACACAGCCTTTGTACTGAGTACCCTGAAATACTCTGATTATGGGTTTCCAGCCCATAGGGCTTACTGGCCTGGCCTGTGTAGTTTGTGTCAGATAGCAGAGAGCAGCTGAGTTGTGGTGAACAGCACAGGCACTGCCATGTCCTGCTTCTTTACAGGGAATGTGAGAGCTGTCACCACCTTACCATGGTGGCCCTGTGACTCAGCCAGTGCTGAAGCTGCAGCAGGCAGTCCCATGTACCAGAAGGGAGGGAATGGCCAGGCCCAGCTGTGGGACCTTTCAGGTTTCTCTCCCTCTCACCCTTGGGCATGTGTGATGCTTTGTATGACTGTGCTCACAGAGCTGTGCTTCCCATCTTTGCAGGATGGGGCTCCATCCCCTTGTCCCTGAGAGAGGGAGCCAGCCTGCAAAGAGTTGTCTGTCCCCTGCCAGCTGGGTCCCCAGCTGTGGGTACCGCACTGGTCCCCTCCCTGTGTCTCTGCAGAGTGGAGTCGGAGGCTCTGGTGGCAGCATGCCTGGTTCCTGGTGAGGATTAGACCACATTGCTGGTGGCCACTGGCACTTGGGGCTGCCACACCCCTATCTCCTGCCCTGCCCCACACCTGCCAGCTCTGACCTAGGTTTTTCCATCTCATTGCAGCTGGATGAGGAAGAGGAAAGGAGGAAAAGGCGCCGGGAGAAAAACAAAGTAGCAGCAGCACGATGTCGTAACAAGAAGAAGGAGAGGACGGAGTTCCTGCAGCGGGTGGGTTCCATGACCTGTCCCAGGGTGCAGCAGGGACCTTGGCGGAGGCCTGTCCCTAGAAAGGTGCCCCAGCTTTGGACAGCGCTCCCTCCTGAACTGCCCCTGTGCCTCTCCTTGCTCCTGTGCCTCCATCTGGGAAAATACAGGCTCATTACCCCACTTTCCATGAGGCTGTGAGGGTGATGGTCATGTGCGTGCCCAGGAAGAACTCATGGGCATCCCTGTGCCCATGGTACCCTGCATGGAGAGGGCTAGAGGCAGACTCTGGATTTGGGGGAGAGAGGGCTGGTAGTGTCCTTGCCTCAGTGCTGGAGCAGGAGCACCCATGGGAGTGTGGCACAGGAGAGGGGTTGACAGCCCCTCATGAAGGTTCCCTGTTCAGAGGCCAGATGTACTCTCACCTGTCATCCCAAGGCAGAAGGACTGTTTCAGCACCTTGCTGCTTTTCTGCAAGAGGTGGTGGGACACAGGCAAATCACACAGCAGGGGATGAGGAGCCATTTCACAAGAGCAGATCTTTGCAGATAGGGGGTGAAAACTTTAATGTGGATTAGTTTCCAAACGCTCTTC